CCCCCAATGGCTAGTTTAAGCTTTTTTAGGGGTTTTTTTACATAAATACCCCCCTAACAACTATAAACAGTCATATTAGGGGGTATTTATGTATTTTACTTGTGTGGGGGGAGAAAAAATGACATAAATGCCCCCTAACAACTATATAACAACTAGTTTAGGGGGTCTTTTGGGTAAAGTTATAAGTAACTTTACAATAACCAAAATACCCCTCCCAACAACTAAATAACAACTAGTTTTTAGGGTATTTTGGGCAATTGAATTATGATCAATTCCTATAAATTATTCTATCTTCCACCATTCTCATCAAACCATTCTCATACTCGTACACTCTCAATTCTCTGCAATTTGTGTAATTCTGATTGGCTGATTGTCTGATTCTCCATTATCCAATTCTTAAGTCTCAACTTTATTGAAGTTTCAACTTTCAAGAAAAAGGCTTTCTCAACCAGCTCAAGTATCTCGATTTGGGAGGTTTAGAAGTTGAAAGGCTTCAACCGTTGAAATCAAGTTGGGATTCTGAACCGACAACCCAAATAAGTCCAATTAAATTAATTTTTATCTTTTTATAATTAAAAAAAATGGTCGGCTCTTCTAAAAACCGATTCCCTAACATGTTCACCACTGATGATATTCAATCGCATCATGATAATGTTAGCACTGATGCGATTGATATTGATGGAAGTGGAACTTTCACCCCTAGTACCGATACTATGGGAAAAAGGAGGGTCTCTAAATTGAGTAGCCCGGTTTGGAAAGTTTTCAAAGTAGAGGATATTGAGAGGAAGGAAAAAAGGGTAGTTTGCCAAAAATGTATAAAATAATTTAGTTATTGTAGCAAAGGTAGTACGAGTCATTTGAGCAAACATTTGCTCACACATGAGAAGGAAGAAGATGAAGGGGGAGAAACAACACAAACACAAATTGGGAGGGGGAGTAGTTTTGGTACATTTAAATATTCACATGAAAAAATGAGACAAGAATTAGCTAAGTATATTGTACATGCAGTACAACCATTTATATTAGTTGAAGATCCAAAACTTGAAAAATGGTTGCATAATTCTGTAAACCCACAATATAAAAAAGTTTATAGGAATACTATTAGATTGGATGCTTTAAAAAAAATTTATTCATATAAACAAAATTTAATTTCTTTGTTATCAAATCTTAATTCTAAAGTTACAATTACTTCTGATGTTTGGACATTTAAATTTAATATAAGTTACATTTGTGTTACCTACCATTTCATTGAAAAAAATTGGCTTTTAAATAAAAGAATTTTAAGTTTTACTAGGCTTGAATGGCCACATACTGGCCCAGATATTGGTACAAGTATTTTAAATATCTTGCATGCTTATGAAATATGAAATAAATTATTTTCTATAAGTTTTGATAATGCCAGCAATAATGATTCTGCAATAAATATTTTAAAATCTCAATTAAGACCATGTTTAAATGGTAAATTATTTCATATCAGATATGCATGTCACATCTTAAATTTATGTATTCAAAATGCCTTGAATATTATTTCTACTCATATTTCTAAAATTAGAAATTGTATTATACATATTAAAAGTTCAGGGGCAAGAAAACAAGAATTTAAATATTTATGTCAAAATTATGGTTTAAAATATAAACATTTTATATTAGATGCAAAACGTAGGTGGAATTCTACTTATGATGTGTTAGAAAGTTGTATTTCTCATAAACAAATTCTTACTGATTTTTATAATTCAAAAATGCCTAATGATATGATATTTATGGAAGACAGATTTTTTAAAACATTTTTATGATGCAACTAATGAATTATCATGAATTTATTATCCAACTAGTTGTAATTTACCTTATCAATTAATGGTAATTAGTGATTATTTTGCAAAATATAGAAATAATCCACAATTTCAATGTATTGTTGAAATAATGGAAAATAAATTTAAAAAAATATTGGGAGAACATTTCTCCCCTTTATTGTTTAGCTACAATATTAGACCCTAGGATTAGGAAAGATGGTTTAGATATTTTACTTGAATCATATTGTGAAAATATGAATATTGAAATAGGAAATAAAAAAGAAGAAATTAATAATCTGTTATTTGAAATGTACAGTTTATATGAATCTAAAAGTGTAGGAAATATTCCTACGACTTGTACATCATCTTCTACTTCTTATCTTGAGCCCAGTATTAGAAGAGAAAAACTTTTTTATTTAATAAGTAGAAGGTAGAAATCTGCTACTTGTACAATAAGTTCATTTACTAAACTTAATTTTTATTTACAAGGAAATTTTTCTAATTTAGGTGAGGGTACAAATAATTTTGATATTTTAGCCTGGTGGAATGAACATTCAAAAAATTATCTAGTTCTCGTTGCCATGGCATGTGATCTACTAACCCCTCTGGTGTCTACAGTTCCATCGGAGTCTTATTTTAGTACAAGTACCAGGGTATTGGATGACAAGAGAAGCTGCATGAACGATGAAAGCATAGAAATGTGCATCTACTTCAAGGATTGGCTAGATGAAAAAGATAGATTACAAACAAAGGAGGGCTTGATACTACACCTGATATTTCACCTGAAGCATATGATGAAAGTCATGATTCATGAAGTTGACTAGTTGTATGGAATTTTTTATTTTTTCAAATTATTGTAAATTTTTTTAATTTTATTTAATTTACTTGATATATTTTTTTAATTTTTTAACAATGTAATTTTGTATTTTCAATTTGTAACTATATTGTATTTTTTATATTTTATTTCCATTTTCATATTTCATTTATCCAAGTATCCAATGATCCAATCATTGTATTTGTAATTTGTATCATTCAAATTTAAATGAAATAAAATTCCTATTTTTCTTCCAATTTGTTATTCCATCATTCTTATTTCAATTTGGTTAAGTATTTTTTTTCATTTATGTGTTAAATAACTTAGACTTCTTATTTCTTAAATTTTCAAATAGTTCTCAAAGTTCAAAGGAAAGTTAAATATTTTAGTTTTACATTTTTACTTAGAAAAGAAATAAAAAATTAAAAAAATCAGTCTAGCTCAGTTCGGCCTGTAGCCTGGCCCGGCCAAGGCCCGTAGCACGGCACGGCACGGTACGGGCCCACACGGGCCCAGGCCGTGGGCTGTGTCAAGCCGACCCCCAAAATTTTCACCAGGGAGGGCAGCATGACCCACAGGCCGTGCCACAACCCCGTGTTTTGGTCTTTTCCCATTTGGTTGGGAAAAGATCTAGCCACTAAAAGCCATAACCCCAAAAGACGTGAAAAGCCCATCAAGCTATTTTCGAAAAGCTCTAAATAGAGCTTTTCACCTTTTTCTTAACTCCTCTTCGTGCAGAAATACACATGGATAAACACACCTTAACCAAATGGTCTTCAAACTGCTAAAATCTTCATGCAAAAATTCACATCGTCTTTTAACTATCAGAGCTTCGAGAAGATTTTTCAAACAAGACTTACCAAACAGCCCCAATAATTTAATACCAGTTGCGATCTGAATTCAATTTGTATCTTATATAAATGATCTAATTCAATTCCACTATAAACAAATCAAATTTGGATCTACCTATATTCAATTCAATTGGATCCATTTACAGCCCTAGAAGAAAGTGAGGGAAGGATTTAGGTAATTTCCCTCCCTAATTAATATATCAGTTTCGGTTTTGGTAATTTTGACAATAAAATAATTATTTGAAAACACAATAAAGCAGTTATCTGCCCGTTTGTGAGTGAAAGCCCAGAAGCTCAACATGCTTTCATTCAGCCTAGAAATCGACTTTTCTATAAAGTTAGTTTTGGTAGTTTCTTAAAGGCCGCTCAGTGAAAGCCTCCCAATCCTCCCAAACGTGCTCGGACTTCGGAAAACACTGGGAGGAGAAAACTCTGGGCAGATCAACGTTCAACAGCTTCGGCTGTTCTGTCTACAGAGTTGTCACCACGTGAAACGTAGTCCGTACTCTGTACATTCGTGCCTTAACGTGTCGTATCAGGTAGAGACTAAAGACCAGAGAAAGTCCTTTGAACAGCAGAGGCTGTCGAACGTATAGACAGCCAATTATTTACCGGGCGAGTTCATTTGTTCTGCGACCGTGAGTCACAGCCTCACAGAGCTGCTTTGACCCAAGAGTCAAAAGTTTTGAGCTCCCTCGAGCTAGACTGTAAGTTGTAAAGTAGTTTTCTAGGTGAGCCACCGGATGAGACTTGAGTCTGCAATTATTCCAATTGCAATAAAGTTATAAAGGAGCTCTTCTCTCGTAGTTTCCAGTTATACATATTCTTTTTTCCGATCCGTATACAACTGTTTTGCAGCTGGGTTTTGGGAATTTTTTATGCTGGGTCCTAACTTTCATTGTAATCGTGCCTGAAATTCGTTACGGCCGAGACAATTGCATGTTCCGTCTCCGTCTCGGCGTGCCTCTGTACCAGGTGAATTATAATCTCTTCTTTTGATGAATTCTGTGAGATCTGTATCTGGGTTGTGAAGAACTGGATCGCTACGATATTGCTTTCATACGTGGAGAGTTGAAACGGGAGATTTTGAGAGAGCTTTTTTTGAGTTGCGTGTTGGAGATTTTTGCATCTGGGTGGCGGTGGATTTTAACTTTCTAAATTGTCTTTTGTTTAAAATGCTAAAAGATTAAATGGGTAATCTCGAGGGAACTCAACCGTGGTATGTTTCTGGACTCAGAAACGAGTCTTGTTTGGTGCTTCCTGATACATGATCAGATTATCAAAAGGGTCTCCTAAGGACTTCCCTAGGAGGAGAAATCATCATCTGTTCGATGTGCTTTAGTATTTTCTGTGATAGCTGCATCTTATAAAAAAGAATTTTGAGATTTTACCCTCCTTTCTTTATATTGTAGTTTTATATGCTAAAAGCACTCAAGATGGGGCTTTCTGATTTTGAATTTCGGTGCTTTATGTGAAATCTTCCGCTGGGTGTTGATGAATTTTGAGACATTATGGGTATATATATACTAAGAGGTAAGTTATGGTCAATTGTACAGGGGATGGCAATTTGTGACACTTCTAGTTTAAAGAATTTTCTTGTTTTATATTTTGAGAATGCCAACTGCTAAGGAATGAGTTCTTAATGGATTTTTTGTGGGGTGTTTACACTAGTTTCTGTGAAATGTTCAGGGATCAGTGGAGAGAAAGCTTGTTTTGGAGTGTTGGTGTATTTTGAATTTTGACTGCACAAAAGAAACTTCTGGAGCGTGCAGCTTTTGTAGCTAATCTATGATGGGCATTATGTGGGTTTATATTTCAATTATGGCTCACTATCACTACATATATAAACATGCATGGGATATGTCATGAGGTTGTTTCTGTCAGAGTCACTCCTCCCATTTGATGAAATGGGTGGCATTCTTCCTTTGACTTTTGGAGACAACTTTGAATATATCTTTATGATGTTTGGAAGGTCTTATAGTTCTAGTACTAAATTTTCTAGCCTCACATATCTATGATAGTGTATCAGTTAAATTGTTCATCGGGTTTGTAGTTAGCATTTGTTAAAAATGAATATTTTTAGTTTCAACCTCTGTTCTGTTCCTATTGTATGTGTAAATGTGTGTCTTGAAGTCTCTGGTTTTTTTATGTCTATTTCATTGTTTTCTGTTTATCGTTTACATTCATGAAAATCTTTTTTGTTAACATAATGGTTTTCACCTCAAATTCAGGAGATATTCACACTGACTCTAAGAAGGTGCATATTTGCTGTCTGACTTTTTAAGAAGACAAGGAACTCCTTTTGGCATGTCTAGAGATGAAAAAATGAAGACAAAAAGAAAGATCTCAGCGTACCGAGAACAACTGGATAATGCTCTGTCATCATCCAATCTTGCAAATCGGGAATATGTTAAGAATGTCATTAGGAATAAACTCCTATGCTCATCATATTCTGAGAACCAGGGTTGGTTATTGTGTCCTGTTGAACTTTGTTTTTCCTTATTCTGACAAAGGATATACATTGAGGGGCTCTAGTTTAAATATGAGATACTACTTGCAATTCATAATGTAGTCCAAAATCCAAATGTGTAAGCGCATGGTAATTGTCTGTAACTGTGTTTTCAGGAAACACTGAAAATGTTGTGGAAAGGAGAACCATTGAAGTGTCAAATTTTCTTGACATGGTCAAGAGTGCCAGTGAACCACCACATGCTGATTGGAAGGTATATATGCTATTGAGTCTGAGAAATGTTCTTTATATTTCAGTTTACTATCATATCCATTTGTATTCTTTTATGGTTGATTGGTGGACCCATAAAAAGTGATAGGTCCAATGGTTAAACCCATGTACCATTGACCATGTTGATTGACTATTGATATATTAAGTCCTTACATATGTTTATGATGAAATGTTAACACCCCCTCCCCCTAAAATAAGCAAAAAAATAATAAACAGTGGTTTGGGTTGACAGATGAAGGAGGATAGTGAACAGTTCCGTGTTATGTATCGAGAAGGTCCTCAAGGCACTCCATTCCATACACTTCTTGTTGAAGGCTACATGGATGCACCTGTTGATGTCTGTAAGTTGATATTGATTAAGAAGAGCTTGAGTTATATTCTGCATTAAGTTAATTAATTACATAGGTCTATTTGCTTTCTTATTTGGTTACCTGAGAAAATTTTTAAGATTGGTATTAGTGTCTTGCAGGTTTATGTGTTGGATGGGAGTCAGATCTATATGATAGATGGTGAGGATTCTTTTCATCCCTCTCAATGCTTTGTTTTCACCTTTACTAGTTCCTGCATTCACTGTATTCTCTTTTTCCTTCCATTGACCAATAGCTATTTCGCTACTTTCACTAATTAATTAATATTCCTGTTTCTGCTCAAGTATTAAAAGGCACTCTCAGATATGTTGGTGTTTGATCTTCTTTTTGTATTTGCTTTAGGTGGCCTCAGTACACCATTCCAACTTTCAAAATTATAACAACTAAATGTTTGCAAAAGGTCCGAATTGGTGAACAAATATCTTTAGTGAGGTTCGTCCTACAGTTGTTTATTATTTACTTGGTGAGTTATTCCTCTTTAGTGTTTGGCATTTCATTAGTTTGGGATGTTGAACTTTTGTTAACTGTTTGGAAGAAAGGATGAAGGTTTCTTGGCCACTATCAGATAGAGAGGCAATTGTGCACTTCTTCGAGTTGGAGTTCTTTGAAGATGATCTCATCATTGTGCTTCTAAACTCGGTAGTGACTCAAGAATTTTATTGGATATTTTTTATTCACTATAGATTCTGTTTATTCTTTACCGGAGTTCAGTATTTCCAAATAAAAACTTAGGCAGGAGCATTCTGTTTTGAAAATTTTCTTTCAGATCTCTGATTTGGAAAGTATAAATAGAAGCACTCATGGCTTCACCAATGAAGGAATACCCAAACCAGAGGATATAGTAAGGATAGATTTGGTGGGGGGCTTTGTATTGAAAAAGCTTACCTCAGAAACAAGCTATTTTCGGTGAGTTAATTTACCTGTTTGTGAAATCATTAAACCACATCTAATGGATGTTATTGCATCTGGTATCATTTTATTTTAATTTCAAAAGATTGCAAAGGAAGTTTTATTGTGTAGAGGATAGATTTAATTTATTCATTCAAGTTACAGAAGCCTTATCCTTAAATGACTTTTGTTAAGTTTCTCATTGTATGGATTTGATGGGGTTCCAATTGGGTTCCCTTGTAATTTTTTTGAAACCTTAATCATATATACTTCACCTTTTTCTCTCAAGAAAATATGAGGAACAAAAATGACTCTAGAAACTCCAAGACAGCTCTGATCAACCTGATTCACTTCTAGCATCTTCACAAATATGATATGATCAACCCATGTGCAGAAACATCTCTTTAACACTATCTACAATGAACTACATCCATAAACGTCAGACTAATTTTTTCCTATTTTTCTTAAGAATTATTAAAATATGGTGTACTTTCATAAAATTCATGTATCATCACCATAAGTCCTCTTCTATTAGGCGGTTAGATCCTCTTCCCTTCTCAGGAGTGGTAACTGTTATGGCATCTTACTCACCTGTAAGGCATGGTAATGTCAGATCTATAACTCAATGAAGCTAAAAGGTAATATGATTGGAAATGTTCAATAGTTTATGCCCAATAACTTTCATTGATACGAAGTAGTAAACCTACTAGGGCTTTCCAAGGGAGAATGAAGAGAAGAGATGGTGTGAGAAAGAATGAAGAAGAGAAAGATTGGGGAGAAAAAGTGAGACCCATGTCTTGAAAACACATTTTATTGAGGAGTATCTAATAGAATAGTGAAATTATAAGGCTGTCTGTGCTAGAATTACGTGTTAGAAGGACTACAATAATAATATAAAAGACATGGTTGTTAACAGCCACCTATTGTGGATGTGACAGAGTTGTGTCAATATTGGTGTTCACACATGTCTAGCATGTTTGAGGCACTCATTTTGAAGTATCCATGTAACATAGTTGCACAAGTGATGCATGCTTCTTTGAGGTATTTTGGCATTGAGCCCTTCCTTTATGGATGCATGATTATTTTACACCCTTAGGTTGATAAAAAATTAGAGAGAAAAATAAAGTTGAGGAAAAGTTCTTAACGGATATTGTGAAATTCCTTGAGAACTTTCCCTTAACTTTCTGTTTCTCTTATTTTCTATGAAACCAAACACAGACATAGCTTATCTCGTTTTATTTTAATATATCTTACTCATTGTCTATATAAAAAAATCATAGGTCTTCTATAGATCAAGAAAGTGGTAATGATTGAAGACAATGGGTATATGCATATTAGGACTTGCCTGCACAAAAGGTCCATACCATATTGACATGTTGGTACTATTATGTCTTTCATGGTCAAGTTTCAAAAAATGCATAGTCCCTTGACAGAATAAAAACGATAACTTATGATAAATAAAAATTTCCTCTTTCTGGTAATTTAGGAGGAGATGTGAAAATGTTAGTTGTAAATCTCTGGTGTACCACAGTTCAAAATGTGTATTGTCCATCAAGTTAACATGGAGTTCCATTCGGTTTTACATTAGTTTTATTTGGGTGCTTAAATGTTCAAAATTTGCATGTTAATCAAGTTAATGTTGAGTTCCATTCAGTTTTACGTTATTCTAGTTTTATTTTGGGTGCTTTTTAAGGCACATCCTTTTTTTGATAAATTGCATGAATTCTTAGTGAAAAGGCAAAGATTACCCTATTTATAAACTTATATAAATGATGCATAGAAGTACTTTTGTCTTCTAAAACAAGTATTCTTTTATCACTAATTGGGGGTGTGCCTAGTTGATTACAATTACAGTTTTCCCAGTTTTTTTTATAATATAAGAAAAATTATATCATAAAAAGGGAGAACAATGCGAAGAAAGCAAAATAACAGAAAGATAGAGAATTATGCATCTCAACTCTCAAGCAAAAGGCCCCATAGATATGTACAAAATCTGCCCAAGCATGTTTTTAAAGGATAGTAATGTATGGTATTGTATTAAAGAAATAACAAAGTCATGTACAACAAGTTACTATACTCAGGGATTTACAAAAGTTGCCCTTGCTGCACTATATCCCCAACTCCTTTTCAATTGAGAGATATAAGGCTTGTTTGATAGCCAATGACTATATTCAAGCCTATGGCATAGACTATTAAGAGACATTTGCTCCAATGGCTAAAATGAATTCTATCCAAGTAATTATGTCTCTAGTCGCCCACTACTCTGGGCCTCTATATCAGATGGATGTGAAGAATGCCTTTCTTAATGGAAACCTACAAGAAGAAGTTTATATGGAATTGCCTCCAAGGGTGAACCTCCGTAATAGTGAAGGGAAAGTTTGTCGTCTAAAGAAGGCTTTGTATGAACTCAAATAATCTCTTAGAACATGGTTTGACAGATTTAAAAGGGTTATTTTGAAGATTGGTTTTTTGCAATCACAAGTTGATCATACTCTATTCATAAGAAGAGTAAATGGACGTGTGACTATGTTGATTGTGTATGTTGATGATATTGTTGTTACTGGGGATGATATTTCTGGAATCACTCAATTAAAATCCTTCCTTGCTTCTAAATTTGAAATTAAGGATCTTGGTGATCCCAAATGTTTTCATGGGATTGAAGTTGTAAGATCAAAGAAATGGATTTTCATTTCTCAGAGAAAATATATTTCGGATTTACTCAACGAGGTTGGAAAATTGGGGTGCAACGTGCAAGCTTGCTAAGACCCCAATTGATCCTAATCAGAAGTCGTGTGCTATTGATGGAAATGTTCTCCCAAACAAAGGGGTTTATCAAAGATTGGTCGGTCAGCTCTTGTACCTCTGTTTGACTAGACCTAACATATCATATTCAATTGGTGTGGTAAGCCAATATATGCATGAGCCAAAGACTTCTCACATTCAGGTTGTCAATAGAATTCTTGCATATTTGAAGGGATGCCCTAACAAATGGATGTTGTACTCTGACCATGGACATTTGAAGGTTGAGGCTTATACAAATGTAGACTAGGTAAGATCTATTGATGACAAGGATATCTACCTCTGGATACTGTACTTTAGTAGGAGGTAATGTGGTTTAATGGAGAAGAAAGAAACAATCTATTGTTTATCGTTCTAGTGCAGAGGCAAAATACAGGGCAATGGCTCATGGAGTGTCTGAGTTGCTTTGGTTAAAGTCCTTATTGATAGAGATGGGAATTTAGACAAATACTCCAACGAAACTCTACTGTAACAACCAAGCAACTATAAACATTGCTTATAACATTGTGCAACATGACTATACAAAGCATATTGAAGTAGACCAGCATTTCATAAGATAAAAGGTAGCCAGTGGAGAGACTTGTCTACCCTTTGTTAGATGAGAAGACCAACTTGTTGATTGTCTCACCAAGGTAGTTCACAAGACAAAGTTTGACAGTAATTTAGGCAAGCTGGTCATGATAGATATCTATGCTTAGTTTGAGGGGGAGTATTGAGAGTCTATTGTATTATTAGGGGCATTTTAGTCTTTGCCTTATTTTGTATTTGGGCACCCAAATAAGGGCACTATTTTAATTTATTCTCGTATAACAAATATTATGTTTTGTAGGTGTGAACAGTAACTAACACACCATATTAAACTTCTAATCTAACAGCTTTTTGGATAGTAGATGTTTTACAACTAATGGTTTTTAGAACAATTCACATGGATTAGATCAACCCTGAACCATGTTTTTTCAAGTTTTGAACTACTATTTTTGACCTTATCTAGCATGTTATGTTACATGTCTTCCTAATTAGATGAAGTAAGGAAGACCACTAATTCGCATATACTTCTTTCACTTGAGTAGGGGTGAATTTGAGCCGAGCCGAGCCGAGCCGAGCCAAATAGTACGAGGCTCGAGCTCGGCTGAAGACTATTCTACAAGGCTCGAGCTCAGCTCGAGTAAAAAATTCATAAGCTCGAGCTTGATTTTGAGAAAAAAATATTTTATAAAAATAAAAATTATATATAAAAATATTTTTTATTTGATATTTAAATAATTAAGAATTATAACAATTAATAATTATAATAATTTTATTATATATTAAATATCAAATATATATATATATATATATATATTCGAGCCCTCGCGAGCCTCACGAGCCGAGCTCTAGTAGGCTCAAGCTCGGCTCGTTTCGTAATTGAGCCAGTGAATTGGGCTCGAGCTCGGTTGAAACTGAGTCGAGCTCGAGTAGCTCGTGAAAAGCTCGGCTCGTTGCCACCCCTACTACACTTCGGGAATCTTACGGGTATCTGAACCATCATCTAGATTATTGATTATATCTTCACTTCCCCATCATATATCCACATGCCCTATACCCATCTTATACTGTGTTTTCCCCCAATCATAGGAATCATCTACAGCTTTATGGTTTAATTGAAATTTTCCTTCCAAATAAAGGCTTATTTTGGTAATGTGGCTACAAGTTCCAAACTGAAAATTGCCCCATGAATAGAGGGTACTGAGGCAATTTGTGGTGCTCCTGATCCTCAAAATTCCATTTCCATATGGATGATTCCTAGGTTGGGGCAACATGGGTTGTTTCGAGTTTGAGAGTAGCCACTTTGTGCAAAATTGCCAAATGTTAGGTCTTATCTAGTCTATTTCTCCAAAGACCCCAGATAGCTTGGACCAACATTGGGTAACCTTTAAAAATGATTCCTGGGTTATCTTTTAGAATTTAGACTCCTCTAGGCAACTCTGCAAGCAGTCCATGTCTACATATACACAGGCAAATACGGACAAAGAAAGAGGTACAAAGACATAAATATCTATATTTCAGTACAGCATACTTAGGCATCTTTTATAGAGATAACAAATGGACAAAGCAATATCTATGAAATAGGTTGTTAAATATCTTTGTCACCCCATTTCTGTTTCATAAACCATGTTCCAGAGAATTTTAAGTTATAACAGATAACACCCTTTAAAGCTATCAAAGTCACCCATGATGTCATAAACCATTCTGCATTGTCAAAACAAACTAATGTATCATTTTGGACATGTTTTAGGGATAATTTTAAGTTGTTACAGAAAACACCCTTTAAGGTTATCAGAAGAACTCACGATGTCATAAACCATTCCACCTTGTCAAGCCGATATATCATTTTGAACATGTGCTCCTTTGAATCACCAAAACCAACATTGTAGGTCTTTGTCTAAGTAAAATGTACAATTCTTTTTTCTTTTTGAGGTAAATCTTGAAGATTCAAAGAATAATGGTTCTCAGCTAATCTGTATTATGTTCATTAATTAAGCTGTCTTGGTAAAAACTTGGGAAATTGAAACTTAGACTGATTAGTTAGTGTAGATGTTCAAGACTGCTATCAGTCTTGAGCACTAATAAATTTCAGGTTCAAAAAATGAGAGAAAGTATAGAGGAAAGAGGAGAAAGAGTAGAGAGAGAGCAGTAGAACACAAGATTTGAAAGGAATGACAGAATCTCAATGTTCTGCCGCCGCCACTTCTATTTAATATTTATAGGTTATGCTAGTTACATGAAAGGACACATCTGCCATTGGTATTTACATAACACATAAAACAATATAAAACTGAAATATAAATAACAACTAGAATAACAGATTGACCATCAGCTAACCCTAGAATGACTAGGT